GCACAATTGTAAAAATTCGCTGCCTATTTCGCTGCAATATTTTTATAAAATTTGCTTTGCATACAATTGAATCGAATTAAAATGTATGTATATTGCATAATTATAAGTGTATAGCAAGAAGATATATGTTTTTCTCTCGCTTTACACAAAAACAGAAACACAATATATACACTTCTGTTGTATAAAGCTAGAGAAAATTGTATTTCACTGCAATTGTATAATTCGTTGGCCTTTTTCTCTGCAATATTTGTATAAAATTTGCATTTGTCTACAATTGAATTGAAGTAAAATATTTGTAAATTATATAATTAAGTGTATAACACGAAGATATATGTTTTTACATGTGTATATACAATTTTCTCTAACTTTATACAAAACGGAAATAGAATTTATACACTTCTGTGTATAAAGCGAGAGACGCGAGCAGAGGGAGAGCGAGAATGGGAGAGTGGCGAGCGAGATTTTTGGGAGAGAGGCGCCTGACAAACTTTGGCTAACGTTTGCTATGGAGCACAATTAAATCAAACCCTAGCTACTACATTTATTTTAGATTATTAGTTTGCTATTATATACAATTTTCTCTTTATTTAATTAAGTAGATATTTTATAATATTTTAGTTTTGTATAAGACACAAAATAGCGCGTGCACACACACACACACACGCACGCACGCACGCGCGCACACACACACACTGTAAATATATATATATATATATATATATATCACATTCAATTTATTAATATTTAATAGCTGAAATTATGTTCTATTTAATTAAGTAAATATTTACAATATATATATATATGTATGAGAAGTAACGTACACTAATTAATATAATATATGAAGTAAAAAACGTACATCTAATTAATATAGTATAAACTTACAGCTAATATATATATTTTATTACTCTTATATTAGAAAAGGCATGTTCAACATGCCTGCTTCATAGGTTTGAGGGTATTTTAATCTTTTTAGTACTCCATTTTGGCTACGTGTCCTGTTGTTGTGCTTTCAGTGTATACATCAATGCGGACTACGGTTTATGCACACCAAAAGTTCTCCTTTCTCCAGCAATATGTTGAGGTAAGCTTCTTCATATTGTTTCTTTGGCTTTTTTGTGATCTTCTTTGTTTTCCCCAAAATTGATGATTTCTTCTTCTTTTTTTTTCCAGTTGGTTTTAGTGTTGATGTTCAGTTTTTGTTATGTGGTTGTGTTTTTTCTGTTTCGTTACTGATTTCTGCTTTGTTTATTACATGCAACAATTAATTTAGTCTGTCTTCATCATAATTCTTTTAAATCTTATCTGTTCATAGATGGTTCTTTGTCGAAATTAACTTTTTGGGTTCCTTAATTTTAGTTGTTTTTTCCATCATACTTCTTCTGGACTTCCTCTGTTTGTATATGTTGGTTTTCCATTGGAATTAACTTTTTGGGTTTCTTCATTTTAGTCGTATGGTGTTGTGGGTTTCGCTTCGAGTTTGTTTAATACATCATTGCATTAACTTTTTGAAATTATTTTCATTTACAGTGTGAAAATTTAAAGATCTGCAACTACTTATGCCAGAATTTGAACTATCGATGTGTCTTCTTAGCAAATTCAAGGATCTGGAACTACTTATACGAATTTGAATTGCGGGTATGTTCGTTGATGGTTTCTTACGCCCTTTATTCCAATTTTTCTCTTTGTCCTACATTAGATACCTCTATGAGCTTTGTTGCTATTATTAAGGATATTTTGGACTTTCTATTTTCAACAAGGTGTTTAACTTGTTCCTACTCTGAAATGAATGTGTTAAAGGAAACTTAGACAGAATAAGAGGTTAGACATATCTTCTCTTAGAAACACCCCTAAAAATTCAAGTTAGTGAGACTAACAATACTATCTTTGATTTGTAAATCAGTTGACTTTATTAGTGAATCGTAAATTTGTGATTAATAAATAGGATATGAGCTATTTGTGCTTTTTTGCTTTTGATAACACTAGCGTACAACAAATTGGCATTTGGAGGACATGTTAACTCATGATTTATCCACTTGCTTTTGCATGAATATGGACATCAAGGTGTAAACTGATGTTCGATTGAAGGAAAATGTCGTCTTTCTAAGGATCTTGTATGTGTAGATGTTTAATGCGGATAAGTTCTCTCACTACATGAACATGTTTATTTGACTGCAGAATAATGTGGAGGCAAGCAAGAAGTAGATATCGTTGTTATTGGGAGCGGTATAGGTGGTCTATGTTGTGCTGGACTTCTTGCTAGGTATGGACAAGATGTTTTAGTACTCGAAAGCCATGATGTAGCTGGAGGTGCAGCTCACTCTTTTGATGTTAAAGGGTACAAATTTGACTCTGGCTCATCGCTGTTCTCTGGTTTTCAATCAAGAGGTCCTCAGGCTAATCCATTAGCATAGGTTATAAAACTCGTATATATTTATAATTTAGCTTTGTTTGTTCAGAATGCAAATGAATCGAAACGTACTAGTATATAAGTCTTCTTCTTTCCTTATGTATCCTAGACATTCCTTCCAAATGTAGTATATGTCTAATGTGAATAGAACTCTAATTAAGGGCCTTGTATACTAGCATTTTCTTTGTCGGATCAATGTTCTTAAGTTACTACACATGAAATAAGTGTATGAGATGTTAACAAAGTTTTACTGTAATTTAGTTTACATTTGGTGTGGTTTCTTGTTAGCAAATAACTCAACTTATGATATGTTTCTCAGGTTCTTGATGCATTAGGTGAATTGATTCCCTGTGTCAATTATGACTCGTGGATGGTATATGTACCTGAAGGTGAATTCCTGTCACGCATTGGCTCAACATAGTTTTTTAAGGTCTGACCTCCTGTTTGCTTTTGTGAACATCTTTCATAGACATCATCGAAATTTTTCCTGTGTGTTTTCAGTATTTGCAAGCTTCATGCTGTAATTTCTAAAATATTAAGATGTTGAGATAGTGTACGATGCTTACAGTAGAGGAGTGTAAGACTTCCTTTTTATTTGTGACCGTATCCTAATGAAACCATTTTATCTTTTAACTAAATGGTTACATTTTCTTATAACATTCTTCGTGATAATCTTTGTCACAATTCAGGATCTAGAGAAGTATGCAGGACCAGATTCAGCGAGAGAGTGGAGGTTTCTTACCCCTACATGTTGTCGTTTCTTACATTATTGATTGTTCTAATACTCAGAGATGTTTCTCTTAATAGTCCCTTTCTCTCGAACTTTTGTAAGAGCTCTTTACTGTCCTTTCTTCTTTGAAATCTTATCTCATTTGCATAGAGTGTTGTTTGTTATGTAGGAAAAGAGTGTATTGAAATCAATTGTTGTGCTCTTTCTCTGTTGATCCCTCTTTACAGTGAATGATTTAATAATAAAGTGTTCCGTGAAACATAAAATATGAAGACAAGTAGAAAGAGCAAGATGAAGAGACTTACTTGTACTTTCGGCATCCTTTATAAAATTTTAGACATTTATCCCTCAATGTTTCAGTATCTTTCTCAAAAGCTTGGATCTATTCAGCCAAGTACAAACTTAAGGACTCACACTTCTGGTTAGAGAAAAGTAAGAATAGATTAGCATATTTCTTAGCCATGGAAAAGGCTTCCAAACTTCTATTGCAAAAGACACAACAAACTGCTACTATTACTTCTATTGTATACACGACTCATTTTACTTAAAGGTGCTCACATGCTATTTTTCATATAGAATCCAATCCAATCTATCCCGTGTATAATACATTGCATTTGAACCTTGGACAATCTTTTTTCATGCTGGTAACAAGGAAAATAAGTGTACTATTAGTGTAACAGATGTTATTTGATAGGTACAAATTGCAAAACATACTAAATTCATTCTACAATTATTTTGCGTGCAGGGTGAAGTTAACGATTTGCAGTTATTACAATTAAGGCTTCAGCTACAGGTATGTTCTTTTTTATCCGTCATTGTGATTTCTTTCTCTCTCATTCCTCATTTTATCTCCTTCGATAGTAGCTGTCCAGCCACTCTGTTCTGTTCCATTTTGATTGATAGAAGATTTGGGTGTGTCTGAGGAGTTCAAGGATAGAAAGTTGTTGTCTTGCTACTGATAATGAGAAAGATAACTAGAAAAATAACAGAAAAATATCTATCATAGACAAAGTAAGAAACTATTGGTAGCTGATATAAGTGAAATTATGATCTTACACTTAATGTTGATTAGGCATTTCTTGATTTTTGGATGGGCTGAAATTCCACAAATTATTGATTTATTGTTTATACTAGAGGTAACGATAGTATTATCACAATCTAATACATACCTCTCATGTGCTCATTCTGCTTTAGTGTCTAATATATATATATATATATATATATACACACACCATAGACTTGCAAGTGAACCTGGCTTGTCACCTTCTGATTCCCCTGGTTTCAGGTAAATGTTATTCTGGAATTTCCCTAATAACATCACTAAAATGTTGATGTAATTAAGTTTTATATAAGAGTGTTTGGTTTAACTATTTGCCTTTTAAGATGGAGGATAGTCTTGTTTAGATTCTCTGGCTTTGTTGAGTTAACACATGAATTTATGTTTGAACCAATTGATGATACCTCTTTAATATTAACAATAAAAAATATTTTGAGTCAAACTATAAATGAAAGACATTTTGATTAATTTCACATAATTTAAGGACATTTTTATCCTTTTCCGTTTAAATAATCTTATCATTATTTGATTCTTCTGTTAATAGTACTCTCTCATTACAATCATATTTATAACAAAACTTTATTATTATATTTACAATAAAATATTAAGATGGTATAAGATAGAATTAATTAATTAAGATAAGTATGATATGAAAATGAAAAAAAATTAACAACGTTGGGCCCGTGTTTACACGGGCAACTCTTGCCTAGTCTAAATAGAAGAAGTACTAGAAAATAAATAGAAAGAAGAAACATATATAAAACTAATTATTATATAATATAATATAATGTAAGAAAGGGAAAAGAAAAGGATCAGAAGTAGAATAAGAAACGTACAACACTAAAACCCTATTAGAGCTCCAAATCGTGCAAAATAGAACAAAATAACTGCACAACTCTTCTTCAAATCCCGTAAACTGAGGATGCATTTCTTCACGTCTCTTCATCATGCTCCCACAATTCAAACTATTATTTCAGTTTACAGAAGCTTGAAATCACAAATTGTTACTTCCTTCTTCGGTTAAGGTATGAAGTTCTCCTAACCCTAATTCTTTTGTAGGAACAGATATTGTTGAAAAGCTAGTTTTTCATATGTTTTTGTTAGATATGAGAGTGAAATTCACACATAATCAATATTTTTTCTTGAAGATACCCTGTTTTTCTTAGACCTTGAAATTGGAACTTGTTATTTTGTTCAGCAGAGAGAAGTTCAAATCATTTTGGGATTTTCTCTGTATGCTGCCAAATCAAAGACCAAGCCAGTGAAAGTCATAGGTTTGCCAGGTGCATCTCTCTTTATGCAATGTTATTCTTTTTTATTGTGTTTTACATTTCCTTAAGATTTGGTGCAGACATCACCTTCTTCTCAAGGTGACTCTTTTATCTTCACAAGTTGCTTTCTTGAACTTTTGCTTCAGTTTTGGTGACCGTTTTAGTTTTAGTCGTTGTTTCGTTGCAATTGGTAGTAGTTTCATATTCAGCTTTATGCATTAATGTCCAGTAATAGTTTGTTTTTGAAATCCCTTCTGCTGTTTACTATTATCACATCTACAAAAAGTATATAGATGCTTGTGAGTTGATCAGTTTAATGTGCCTTTAACTTTTTGATGGAAATATGTTAACGAAGCAAACAACTACAAAACTCGTCTTATTCGAGTATCTATGACAGGCTCGTAATTGATGACTCGGATGACTCTAGTGCCTCCACAAGTGACAATCTGCGATTTCTCCAAGCTGTTTCAACCGACTGCTTCATTTTTCACCTTCTGCCTTTCTATTTTGTTGTACGATAAGTGTCTCTATATACTCACCTTCTACATTCAAGGGTAGAGTTTTGAGCACTTTAATTTCTCTTCTATGGAGTCCCTCTTGAATCAAAAGCGATTTTGTGGTTGATTTTGTATTGGACTTGGGTGACTAAATAGTGTTAGTATACAAAATGCCTGTGTTTTAATATTTTTTTTCTCATCCCTCATTGTAATCACTTAAAATTTTTCGATTTGACTAACTATAAGGGAAATTTATGTTTGTATTAGAAAAATACAATTTTTTCGCGTAGTTAAATAGTGATATGGAACCCTTCTTCAATTAGATATTTGTGGTACAATCATTTCTGTTTAAATTTGAATTTCATTTACTTGATTACTACCTAATGAAAAAATTATTAAGTACTAAAAGAAGTCTTTTATCATTGTTTGTTAGATAGGAAGCATGAGTTCCATTAGAGTTGATCGCATGTGGATGTATAAGAGACTAGTTCCAAGTCGAACAACTGTCACTTCTGAGTTTATAGAAGGTGTGCGTGGATTTATAGAGTTTGCATTGATGCAACCTGATTTTGTTTCTAATGGAAGTATAAGGTGCCCTTGTTCAAAATTTAAAAACAGTAGTGGATTTCTTGAACCTCATGATATTAGATCTCATTTATACAAGCATGCTTTCTTGCCAACTATTATCAATGGGAATCACATGGGGAGCCTTTTGTTCCAATTTCTAGGCCTCAACCTAGTTCCAATATAGGTGATCTGCAAAGAGTTGTTTCTCTAGATGACTAGCCATTTTTGTAAGATTTTCCGGAACCCAATAGTTCAAGGCCAGTGAACAGGACTGCATCTCTATAGTTTGGTTTTGGAATTTCACTATGTAGCAGCCTGCATCGTGTTATATAACTCAGGTGTAGGAACAAAATTTTAGCACCCATCTGTAACCACCCGATTACCTTTTTGAAGTGTTTTTCTCAACTCATGCACGCCATCATCCTTCATCCAGCAACTCTAAACACTGCCCACATAAATATAGAAACTAGAACCAACACCTACAATATTTATAGCCCCCTTCATACCTAATCCTTCATCCATGAATGTTACTTGAAGACCAACACCCCAAAGAGAATTTCCCTGCATGATTTCCATGGCGCTCATCGCATCCATAACGTTTTGGTACTCAAGCAAAGCAAAACCGTTGAACGCAAATAATGGAAATAGATTTACTGGACCAAACATCTCAAACTAATGTTCTTGTATTAGTTCAAATATATATTTCATTATTTACTTCATCAATTACAGTATTCTATTTATTTAATTATGCAAGTTTATTTCATGTTGTCCTATTACAGAATAAATTTGAGTACTTTCATAGCACCTCTTGGAATTTCATAGCTTTGTTATATAATGTACTAACTAATCACTTTATTCTTTTTCAGAATACATTTACAAATACAATTAAGGATCAGGTGAGCGAGAATTCAACATTAAGGAATGAAGGTCTTGAAGTAAATGAAGGAGACATGGAGAGAAACACGGCACAAATGGAGAAAATGATGTGAATTTATTGAAAACGGTATCGGAGGAGCAATTACTAAAAACTTGGATAGAAACAGTTGGTGGAACTAAAAAAGGAAAAATATACGGGCTTGGTTCTAGAAATTGTTTGCTGGCAGATTCAAGGAATTCTAATTGTGTATCCTCTACTGCTCAGAATCATTCAAATATTCCAACTCAACAAATATTTGGAACACCTGAATTGCAGCAACTTCTTGACCGCATGTTGGAGCAACGAATGATGAATATGCAAGTGCAAATGGATATTCGGGAATATATGGAAGCTCAAGTTACTATTGCGGTTCATGCTGCTCTGGCTCGGATGCTTGGTTTTACTCCTCAACCACCACCAGATGGATATGGTTCTACTACCCCAAATTAATGCACCTTAAGATAACTTATCTTACTATTTTTATGTTTTAAGACATTATGTTACTGTTTTATGTTTTAAGATATATTTTAGCTAGTAAACATGTACTTCACTATTCAAGGATTGATGATATTATAACCGTGTTATTTTGATAAATTTATTTGATTTAACTGTCTTTCATCTTGTGTCAAATATAGAGGATTATATTTGTATTCGTCATACAATTTCTAGCCAGATTTCTCTAGAAAATATGCCTAGCTGTTTATAGCTAGTAATTTAGCAAAGAAAATATTCCAAGAAAAATTTGAAAATAGCTGGAGAATTTGTAAGTTTAGATTGGGTGATTCCTTGCTAAGTCTAAGCAAAGTCAATATTTACCAAGCAAATTTTGCTATGAGTTTAGCTAGTATACGTTGTGACAAACTCTTTCCTACGAAAAGAGCCTAGCAAAGATATCTTAGCTAAATTAGCTAGGAATTACATAATTTGCTAGCTAAAAATTAGCTAAGAGCTTATTAGCTTTGAAGGTTGCTAGGGTCATTTTCCTAGCTAAATTGACATTAGCTAGGGATTTTATTACTTTAGCTAGGATTTGCGTCTGTAGCTAAACGATTGTTTTCTTGTAGTGGATGTGTCCTAGTTCTACCGTTGGCAAGAAAAAAACATTCATCGGAGTAGGTCAGAACTACGGATTCCATGTCAAGCTATCATGGTCTATGTCGGTTATTACTTATTCTGATCATGTGGGATACCTAATAGCATCAGAGAAGTTCTATTAAGTTTAGGTGGTGGTATGAGACTCTTTCTAGACATTGCACAATAGGCTTTGAAGGTGCTCGTTAGAGTCCGTAGGTCTTGTCCAAGACTAGTACTTGAATAACCTAATGTCAAGAGTGAGTCTTCTAATGAATGTAATGACTTAAGTAAATGAAGCATGTTAAATGAATAAGTTTTTATCTAGAGTAGTTAAGACTTGTCTAGTTAAGGTGTAAAGGGGGCATAGGAATGGTGACTTCGTATCTCACCTAGATAGGTCTTAAGAATAACTCTAGTTAAGGAAGATGGTTGATTATGTGGACATGATCTAAGCCTTAGGTAGTCTCATGGATTATTTAGGTATTTTGAAGAGGTCAAGCATGGATGTTATCTTCTTGATTTACTTAAGTAAGTCTTTTGACAGACTTTGAAAGGAGAATGTCATATTATCTATGTGTTTATGTACTAAGTGAGAATGATTCTATCTTGAGTAGTCTAATTGATCTCTTAAGTGTGTGTGCAAGGGATTGTATGGGCGGTCGCTTCACAACTCACTCAACTGAGACTTAGAATTTCCTTTGGTTTAAGGATCTCATGTTCATGTCATTGGTGTCTTCTAAGTGTGTGTTGATCTCATTATAGATGGTCTTGAGGATCATTTAGGTGTGCTTAGAGAGGTTGTATGGGCGGTCTCTCTTTGTCTTACTTAGGTGAGTCTTAGGATAGATTTTAATGAGAGGAGTGCATGCTAGGACGAGTTTTATATGAAGTTAATAGGATTCACCGTAACCTTAAGAAATAGTCACTCTACAGTGACATAGTTCACTGTAATGATTCCTATAAATGTACTAAATTGCTTAAATTTTATCATGTGTTTCTAAGGTGTTAAATGTTGTTCTTACGATTATGTTATGATATTTAAGTCCAAAAGATACATATTTCTAATAAATGTCCATTTTCATGATTTTATGCATCTGTCATAGTACATTTGTTTGAACTAATTCCATGCTTTTATCTATCTCTATATTGATTGGTACGTGATAAGCATTTGGATGCAAGACTTGGATCGTAGCATCATTCAAGTGAAGTTCAAGTATGTCCCCGAGGGAATAAATGTCTTTTACATCTCTTTTCAAAGTATTGTAATAGACTTAGTAGTACTACATTTCTATTGTGTATGGGACGTGTCCCAATGTATTCTCGTGTCTAAGATTTGATGAAATGATACATATTATTTCCTCTGAGTTTTATATGAAAGAGATTTTAAGACTTATAGAATGTTTATGAAAAGTTTTAATACGCACTACTTGTCATATGTTTATATGTGATGAACGATACAAAAAGGTTTGTACAAGACTTCCGAGAGATCAAGTACGCCAGTTGCACTTCGAGAGTGCCATATCTTCTTAGGTGTAGTATCAGAATGTGACAAGCTTGGTATTAGAGAATAGCTTTTGAAAGTGGTCTTAGGTATCAAAGAGTCTCATCAAGTCACGTCTAGTAGAGGTCTTGACCATCGGTGTGAGTCGCAAAACATCTATGAACGAGAGGCTATAGAAACATACGGTTTCCCTTATTTTCTACACCTATGTAGTGTCGTAGAGTAATACTCTTTTTCTTATGGTTTTCTTTGTGTTTCCAGGAAGATGAATACGAGGAGAACACTGGTTAGGATAGTTGAGGACAATGAAGTGAATGAGGAGATCCCTCCTCAATTTGAGGAAGTTGCTCAACCTGACCAAGTCCCTATTAGAGGTCAAGGTAATGAGGTTCCGATGGTTCCCCCGGAAATGACCAATTGTGGAAATTAGAATGCTTTACTTACTTTAACCCGAGCTTTGACTACCCATGTGAATATGGGTATTGCACCTAGAGTGAATGTTGTGTAAAGAACTATGACATCTAGATTGGGAGACTTTGTGAGGATGAATCCTCCTATATTTCTTGGATCTAAGGTGGGAGAGGATCCCCAAGAGTTTCTAGATGGTGTGTACAAGGTGTTGAGTGCCATGGAGTGGCTTCTAGAGAGAAAGCGGAGTTGGTTTCATACCAATTGAGGGAGGGTTGCTCAAGTTTGGTACACCCAATGGAAAGACACTAGGACGATTGAGTCGGGTCACATAGAACATGAGGAGTTCAAGAGGGCTTTCTTAGGGGAGTACTTTCTCCATGTGAGGAGGAAGGTGAATATTGGGAGGTTCATTGACTTTAGTAAAGGTAAGGGGAATGCTGAAGAACTCAAAATTAGGAGAAGTGCAAGGATTTTGAAGAGGAGCATGAGGGCTTTGAAAAAGGGTAATGCCAATAAGCAAAGTCAACCTATGTTTAAGGAGAGAGCCCCAAATCGAGATGGAACTAATGTTTCAAAAGAGAAGCTTGGGATAGGTAGTAGTTCTCAAATTATTAAGCCTACTTGCTCTACTTGTAGGAAGAGGCACCATGGGAACTGTCTAGTTGGTACAGGGAATTTCTTTGGTTGTGGTAAGGATGGACGTAAGGTGAGAGATTTTCCTACCATTGCGGCTAAAGGAAGGGAATCTAAGCAAGTTCCTCCAAAAACCGGATGATGATGAGAATGTTGGTAAGTTGTTTTATATTCTTTAGAGTGTGAGTCCCTTCTAAGTGGGGGAGTATGGTGAGTAAAGGAGTTTTAATTGATTGTCTCATCTCTTCTATTCAATTAAAGCTTGAGAGTAGGAAGTCATAGAAGTATGTTGCATGTGCATTGTGTTTAGGGGCCTTGTTGAAATTACATTTCGTTGATTTCTTGCATTGTGCATTTTATGAAGTTATGATTATGTTGTCAGCTGTGTTTATGTGGTTCTACATTGCATATTAGCATGTTTCTATCATGAATTTCCTAAAAGTTGCATTTCTGAAAAATGTTAAAATATTCACTGTAGAGCTGCTAGGGATATCTGCTCACTGTAAAATTTTTGGTAAATTGATAAACTCATTCATTGGTCGAAAATTGTTGTAAGGTTGCTAGAATTGATGTATATGGTCATGATATTGAGTATAAAATAAGTTTTCTCTATTTGGATGAAGGATGTGAGTTTTATAGCTTGATGAGTTGTACAATTTATCATAGTTGCTTATTGTGTTTGACGCTCTTGATTATGTGAAATTGATATTTCTACGTGATCATGTGTTGTATAATGTGTTATATGGTATGATCATGAGCTGCTACATTGAGTCTCTATTCTTGGAAGTGTTCGGAGAGTGACAAGTGTCATTCGAGGACGAATGTTGTCCAAGTGGGGAAATTGCAATACCTTGAAAATGACTTAGGTGAAGCTAACATGGTTGTACTGATGGTCTAAGGTCCTAAAATTATCTATAATGTTGTATTGTGCCAGTTTCTAAATATTTAGATGCATTGGAAGTCAAACATCAAGGGAAGACCAACACGTTCGATGATTAAGTTACCTATGTGCCTCATATGTGGTTATATGCTTATATATGTATTTTATGAGTTAATGAGGTCATTATATGAGTTATAATAGTGTTTATAGTCTGTGTCAAGTTTCGTGAAGTTTGGAGGTCAAAGGTCCAAGAACGTCCATGACGTTCGAAAGGTTTGCCTTGAAACGACCTTGTGTGTCTATGCATGTTTGGTCAAGTTTTACGTGTTTGTTTATAATGAAATTCATGTGGGAGGTCATAAACTCGTATAAAAACATTTTCGGCTTGGAAACGTCCGGGTGAAAGTACTCAAGGACTAACCAAGGGTCATTGAGGAAGGACCCTTTCCTTGAAGCCAAGACTGCCAAGATAGCCCCAAATGACGGTGGCAGTAGACGGCTCATGGGCCAGTCTATGCCCCGTCGATGGGTTTCGTGGGTCATTACATAGGCGTGGGAAAAATACAAGCCAAGGACCAGCCTCAGTCCCAAACCACGGACCGACAAAATGGTCTGTTGGTTGAGGGACAGCCCGTTGGTGGCCATCCGTCCATGGTGCTGTCAACCTATGCAGCTTACTGTTAACTCTAGGGGTGAATTGGTAATTCACCCACGTCAAAATAAGATAAAGGGCGGTTACTTAGGGTCTTTTGGGGTTTTTTAACATGTTTATATTCTTTAACACTTAGAAGAGTTCATTCTTCAAAATTAAAACCCAAAATCCCTTAGAAATTCTCTATAACTCCATTAGAGCCAAAACTCAAGGAAGGGCTTGGATCAGATGTTTCAGTGGAGAATCTTCATCAAATTGGTGTATTAGCATTAGTGAGGTATGATTTTTGATCCTTGAAACTCTATCCATCAAGGAGCCCAAATTCAAAGAAGTTGACTAAAAGTTTTCGAAGATGAATTATCCAATTTCATGATCTATTCATGGGTTCTTGAATTAAAGGTTTTTAAGCATTGAATATTGATTGAATTGTTATTAATTTAATGATTTTAACTTAATTGACCTTTGAACCCATGTAATTG